TCTAAAATGAAGAAGAAAAGGAGGAAGATAAATTCTTTGGCATATATCAAAGGAAGAAAAAACCCACCTTGGTTTCATAGCAAGAGGAATCGTTTGACTCGGAGGTGATTGATCCTGAAGGTAATTTGGAGAAAGTGTTGATGATATTCCTATTGCTTTGAGAAAAAGGAAAAAAATCATGTTAAATATATTATTTCACAATATGTATATATTGACCATTTGTCTTTTCAACATCTAAGTTTCATTATTGCCATTGATTCAATAGATAACCCAACTTCAACCCAGGAGGCTATGAGAGAAGAGCACTGGATTCTAGCCATAAAAGAAAAAATAAAGGCATTGAAAAAGAACTTAACATGGGAGATTGTAGACAAACCCAAAGATAGGAAAGTTGTCAGGTGTAGATGGATATTCACGGTAAATCCCAAAGGTTATGGAATAGTAGGCATATACAAAGTGTTGGAATACAAACAAGTCCTATATCGATAAAATACGATAAGAAATAACAACTTATATAGTACAAACATACTTCAATAATTGAGAGGCCTTTTGGGTGATGACCAAAAGCAAAATCGTTGGGGCTTAGGCCCAAAGCGGACAATATCTCATCATTATGAAGTATGTTTGTGTAATAACCCTATAAAATAACCCTCATAAAATATCTTCTCAAGCAAATACCATATAATAACCCCCATCAGTGGTATCAGAGCCGCAGGTTGGATTCGGTGACAACCAATAACCCCCCTCATAACTCATAACATATAATGTGCTATATAAAGATAGATTCCACTGCATGAAAGGTTAGGTCTCTTGTTTGAGAGGAGGATTGTCGGTATATAAACAAGTCCCACATCGATAAAATAAGATAAAAAATAACAACTTATATAGCACAAACATACTTCAATGATTGAGAGGCCTTTTTGGGTGATGACCAAAAACAAAACCGTGAGGGCTAAGGCCCTAAGCGGACAATATTTCATTATTGTGGAGTATGTTTGTGTAATAACCTTATAAAAAATAACTATCATAAAATATCCGCTCAAGCAAATACCATAACATAACCCATCACAAAGCATGATTGGTAGCAAAGGGGTACACCTAGACTTATGGGATAGATTATGAGGAGAGGTTTGCATTGGTGGCAAAGATGAATACAGTATGAGATGAGATCGATGATTTTTTGTGCAGGATGAAATTGATAAATATTTTAAACATGATGTTTAAAAATCTTTAACTCGTACAAGCCCAACCAAATACATACACACAGTCATACTGCTATAAGTGGTAATATAATTTTTCTAACAATGATAACCTATTTTTCTCCTGAGTCTTATTTCAATAATGATTAATGTACCGGGAGGACCCTATCGGTCACGTGGACCAACACGTGCCGTCCCATCAGACACCCACGTGAAGTGAATTATGCCCAAAAGTCTTGACATTGAACGCACTTTTTGACGAACTCGGCGCAGTCTCCCTTCAGAGTTGGCCAATAATAACCGGCTCGCAAGACTTTAGCCGCCAGGGTTCGCCCCCCCGAGTGAGATCCGCAAATGCCTTCGTGAATTTCCCGCATCACATAATCGGCTTGTAGGTTGTCAATGCACTTGAGCAGTGGGGTGGAGAATCCCCGCCGATAGAGCACTTCGGCTACCATGGAGTACCGAGCCGCTTGAGTTCGTAATTTCTTGGCTTCCATCGGATCGGTTGGTAATTCGTCTCGAACAATAAAGTTTCGAATGGCGGTCATCCAGGTCGGCGCTTCGACTTCGGTTGACATGCACTCGGCCGTCACACTCGGGGAGGGAATCTCTAGGTGAATGGTTGTGCGCAACTGTCCGGGCTTCCGGCTGCTGGCGAGCCGGGCTAACTGATCAGCTCATTCATTGTTGCATCGTGGGACGTGCCACACCTGAACCTCAATGAAATCGTCCCTGTGCTTTTGGAAGAGGTGGTAGTGTTGCAACAAGTTGGGATCCTTGACCTGGAAGTTGTCATTGACCTGTTCGGTCACAATCTTCGAGTCAGTCCAACATATGACTTTTTTCACACCCATCTCGGTTGCCAACCGCATTCCCGCTAGCAAGGCTTCATACTCCGCTTGATTATTAGAGGCTCGGAAGCCGAAACGCAGAGATTGCTCTACAGTGATGCCCGAGGGACTAGCCAGAATTATACCTGCCCCATTTCCTTGAGCGTTAGAGGACCCATCAACATGCATGGTCCACGACTCGTCTTTGAAACGGCCCGGAGGACTGAGCTCGTTGATGAAGTCGGCTAAATGTTGTGACTTGATGGGGCCTTTCGGCTCAAAAGTTACGTCAAACTCTGAGAGCTCAACTAACCATGCCATCATCCGGCCGACAATCTCAGGTTTCCTCAGGACTTTGGCAATTGGACAATCGGTTCGGACAATTATCTTGTGGCTTTGGAAGTACTGCCTGAGCCGGCGGGCGGTGTAGATGAGCCCTAAGGCTACTTTTTCTATCAACTGGTAGCGTCGTTCGGCATCCTGCAATGTCCGACTGATGAAGTACACCAGCTGTTGTTCGTCTTGTTTTTCCTGAATCAGGACGACACTGATTGATGTACTAGAAACGGATAAATACACAATCATGTCGAGGTCGGCGACTGGTTTGGAAAGGATTGGAGGTGCGCCCAGGCGTTCCTTGAACTGTTAGAACGATGCCTCACACTCCGGGGTCCATTTGAACCGTTCAGCTTTCTTCAGTAAAAGAAGGATAGGTCTAGCTATCTCGGCCAGGCAAGGAAGGAACCGAGAGAGGGAGGTGAGTCGGCCTGCTAACTTTTGAACCTCCTTCAGAGTACTTGGACTTTTCATGTCTAGGATGGCCTGACACTTGTCGGGATTTGCCTTAATGCCTCGGCTGGATAGCATGAATCCTAAAAATTTACTGCCCGAGACTCCGAACACACACTTCTCGGGGTTGAGTCTCATTTGGTGGTGCCGAAACGCCTGAAACACCTCGATCAAATCTTGTGCATGTGCCGACACTGTACTTGACTTCACCACCATGTCATCAACGTACACCTCCATGCTTCGGCCAATTTGATCATGAAAAATTTTATTCATTAATTGCTGATATGTGGCTCCGGCGTTTTTTAAGCCGAATGACATTACTCGGTAGCCCCCTCCATTTCCCGGATGATCCGGCTTGAACCTTGTCAGGCCGATGAGGGCGTGTACATGGGGAGGTCTACCGACCCTCCCAATTTTTATATGTACCACTATTTTTTTAGGGATTTAGGTGTCTGTCTTCCCTTTACTCAGTTCGAGTGTGATTTTTTGAACTTTGTCAACTCGGCTCCTTGCCAGTTGCACCCCAATAGTTGGGGTTTTTTGAGGGCTTTTCAAGTCCTGTGTACAGTTTTAGGGATAGAGGTGTCTTTTCCCGTCTTCCTTCATTTTTACCAGTTGAAGTTAGGCGTTCCGCCATACGGCATACTATCTCTGAGTGGGAGTAGGGATGGGGTTT